AAAAACATGGGAATCAGATATTCAAACAGTGAGGGGATTTCCCCAAATTACTGAATTAGCTGCTGTAGTCAGGGCCTTTCAGCTTTTTCCTTTTAATTTCATTACAGATTCTGCTTATGTTGCTAATGTAGTTAAAATAATAGAAGGATCAGGTTTAAAATATGTTGGAAATGATGCCTTGTATTGTTTGCTTTCAAGCTTTTTTACAATTTTACAATACAGCACTAATCCATATTTTGTTTCTCATGCTAGGGCTCATTCTTCGCTTCCAGGATTTTTAGCAGAAGGAAGTGCAAGAGCGGGTAAGCTGGCAGTGGTTGTTTCTAATGCTTTGCCAAACATTACTGAACAAGCAAAACTAAGTCACGCCGCCTTCTTTCACCAAAACGCACAAGCACTTGTGTGGATGTTTCACATTTCCAAAAGTCAAGCTAAAGCCATCATTAGTACTTGCCCTGACTGCCGGCTTGTGCAACCCCCTGTTTCTACAGGAGCTGTCAACCCACAGCGTTTGCAAAGCCTGCAGCCACGGCAAACAGACATCACTAAGCACCCTTCCTTTGGGAACTTTAAAAATATTCATGTATCAGTTGACACCTTTTCAGGAACAGTTTTTGCTTCTGTCCACGCAGGAGAAACAGCTAATCATGCCTGTCAACACTTTTTGCAAGTATTTGCTTCACTAGGGGTACCCTGAGAAGTAAAAACAGACAATGGCCCTGCATATGTAGCCCAAAAATTGGCCACATTTTTGATGGACTGGGGTGTTTGCCACTCTTCTGAAACTCCCTAATCCCCCACAAGCCAAGCAATTATTGAAAGGACACATCATACCCTAAAATGTGTTCTAGATCAACAGAAGGGAGGAGCAGAGATGGCACCACATTGAGACTGAGCAAAGCTTTACATGTTTTTAATTTCTTGAACAGCTCTTTTGCAGAACCTGATCCACCAATTTTTAGGCATTTTTAAAATAACACACGGGCAAAATTGGAGGAAAATCCGTGTTTTAATTAGAAACCCTGAGACAGGGCAAATTGAAGGCCCTTTTCCCCCAGTAACTTGGGGCAAAGGGTATGCTTGTGTCTCCACAGATGCCAGACCCAAGTGGGTTCCAGCAAAGAACATCAAACCATATTGCACAGAAGAACATGCTGATGAGTCCAAGAGCAGAGAGACAAGCACGGAGATGTGAAACAAAGAGAGAGCCCACGGGTCCTTCCTGACAAACCTTGTTCACCTGTGGAACCTGCAAACCCTGATTTTTGTGTCATTGTGAAAAATGTGTAAATTGTTGATTTCATGGACTCCTTTGGCAAAAACATGCTATTTTTGTGCTATAGAGAGTACATCCCCCCATCGAATTTGCAAAGGTGAAATTATCCCTTCTTTTTCTTGTTATAGGTAGCTAGTCCCCAAGCAAATTTGAGAAAGTACAAGAGTAGAATTTGGGAAATAAGATATATGGAAAGGTCATTTGCCAAAAAATAGCTCACGAAAACTATGGAGCTGAATGAAGTATTATGCTGGTACTTGCTGGTCTTGCTTGTTCTGTGCAGTGAAGATTTGCCTGTAGAACAACCAAAAACAAATGTTTGCCTTAGCCAAGGCTGCAGGCTCAGACACCATAAGCCTGTCCAATTCAAATCCAGAAAAGTCCTTTTCAACCTGTCTAGTTGGTGTGCCAGTAAAAGATTGGCCAATACCCATATATTATGATCCCTTCACCAAAACGGGAGCAATCTTGTGACTGATTGGAACATTTGGACCAAAAAACTTCCAAAAGCAGAATCTGAACACCAAGAATTGGAAATTCTTGGTTCTTTGACAATGGATTTTTGCCTCACATTTTCAGCTAGCAATTCGTGAGAGAATGATTCTCCGAAGTGCAATGTCACTCCCAATTATCCTGCTTATAGGAACTCCAGTTTTCGGTGGAATTACTCAGACAGTTGGGGTAAATTTTCCAGGGCTGACCAATATCCATGACAATTACCAAAAGGATATTGGTTCATTTGTGGAGATAGGGCTTGGCAAGATATTCCATCTCACCTTGAAGGTGGTCCATGCAGCATTGGACAACTCACTATGCTAGCACCTAAAACAGTCATTAAGAAAAAACATACAGGAAAAAGATTTATCCACCGGTATGATGAAAATTGTCACAATAATTTTAGACCCTGAAAGGCTGCAGAAAGAGCTTCAGCAGGTTTGCTACTACCCCAGCTTGCCTCAGCAATGGCATTGAAACAATTAGATCAGGTAAGATGTTGGCTGAGTAAACAGACCAATGCCACATGCATTGCAGTCAGTGATATGCTGACTGATGTCAGCAGTGCTAGACATGATACCCTTCAAAAGGGAGAGCAGCAACTGATTTTGGAAG